TATACAGTAGAGAAAGTGGGGGGAAGTTGCCTTACCATGTGGTAGAGAATATGCCCTATTCCAAAGGTACTTAATTTAGGGATCCATGGATAAATTTCAGGAGGTACTTGAACTTGGATGGGGAAAAAATTACATCTTTATTTTCATTAACCTTTAAATAAATTACTTGAATTATATTTTAAAAAATGATTCTAAGAAGAGGTCCATAGGCTTTGCTAGACTGCCAAAGGAGTTCATGACACAAAAGAAGGTTAAGAACCTCTGGCCCAATCCTGACTCTTAAAGATGCTCTTAGCATAGTGGATGACCCAATCAGGATCCAAAAAGGATCTTTGAAAGCTAGAGCACTGGTCTGAATCCAGTAAGGTGAAATTCAATAGGGATAGCTGTTAAGTCTTACACTGGAATATTAAAAAATCAGCTTTACCAATGCAAGATGGGAAAAGCATGTATAGATAGAAGTTGTGTAGAAAAGACCTTGGGGTCTTAGAGGACTACTGTAGCTCGGTATGAATTAGCATTGGGATATGGCAGCCAGGTCAAGCCAAGAAGCATTTATTAAGTGCTTACCTTGTGCCAATCATACGCTAAGTATTGGGGATACAAAGAAAGGCAAAAACAGTCTCTGCCCTCAAGAAGTTCACATTCTAGTGGTGGAGAGAACATGCAGACAACTAGCCATGTACAGAATAGATACAGGACCAAAAAAGCAAATGCAATCTTCAGCTGAATTAAGTGAGACACAGCTTTCCGGAAGAGGAGGGTGATAGTTGCACTGTACTCTGCCTTATCAGCTTTCATTTGGAGTATTATGTTCAGTTCTGGGCCCCATGCATTAATAAAGGCATTGATAAGCTAGAGAGTGACAAGAGGAAGGCAACCAGGATAGTGAAGGATCTTGAGTCCAGGACATATGAGGATTGGTGGAAGGAACAAGGGATGCTTAGCCTAGAAAATTGGGATTTGGGGTGGGGGCAGAAGCAGGAATAATGGGTAGAGATTGCAAAGAGACCAATTTAGGCTTGAGGTCAATAAAAACTTCTTACAAGTAGAATGTCTAAGACCCAGAAAGAATAAGTACAAAAGAGGCAACCCAAACTTAGGCTCTGTCTTGCCCAGGCAAGACACGTACTTTTGGATAAAGCTCTGGGCCTGAAGTCAGGAAGACTTGAATTCAAATCCTGCCTAAGGCACTTCCTAGCTGTGTGACCCTGGGAAAGTCACTTACCCCATTTGCCTCAGTATCCTCATCTGTAAAATGAGCTGAAGAAGGAAAGGGCAAATCACTTGAGTATCTTTGCCAAGAAAACTCCAAATACAGTCATGACGAGTTGAATACAACAGAAAACGACTGAACAGCTGCAAGTACAGTAACTATCTTCCAGGATTGTTGTGAGGAATAAATGAGGTACAATTTGTAATACAAGTTGTAAATCTTAAATCTTAAAGTGCTATTAAATGCTATCATCATCATCATCATCATCCATCATCATCATCATCACGTTTATGGCTACATGTAGGCCAGCGTGTGGGATAATGGCAAACTGCCCTTTCCCTCTTCTCTCTTAGGAAGTAACTAGAAACAGTCCTGATCCTTCTCAGACAGAAAGAAAGAGAGACTAAGGGGGAACACTCCCCTTTCTTTTGTACATCCACTGAGTCGTCACTTCCTCTGATTATAGTCAATAAGGAGACTCTTCATTTGCAAGTGAAGGGTCTTTTAGCCTTGAGCCATATGTGGCTGAGAAAAGACCGAAAAGTTCCTATTGGTTGACTGCAACCAGAAACAGTAACTCTGAGCATGCTCCACGGGAAAGCCCCTACAGGCCAACTGTACCTTGCTACAAAGAGATTTCCTATTATAATTGATGCCCATGTTACAGTCCTTATAGCAGGTCTATTCTGGACTATCATTCCAGGTCCTAGAGTGGTGATCCTTTGTAGATAAAGGGAAGGAGAGTGGAGATTTTTCACTGGCTGCCATATTTTCTTTTCTTTCTTACCAGGAAGCTTGTAACTTTCTCTCTTCCCTTTGCAGAGGATTTAAAAAGCACTTGAAGGAGAAGGAAACCAGGAAGAGGATATAAGAGGGTGGCAAGATTTTTGCATCAGGGCATGCACTGATTGGGCATGCACTGGTTGGTCCTACCTTTTTGATTTGCTTCTACCTGCTGGTTTTGCCCTCGAGAGACTCCTGGGGGTCCCATTCCAGTTTATGCAGTATAGGGAGCAGAGAGAAACAATGGGCAGACAGCAGTGAGCTTAGAAGGTTCAGTTCCCATATTGCCAGCAACTGGTTACAAACAACACCATGGTACTACGATCAGGATTGGCAATACAATACTTGAGAATACAATACCAGGAAATACTGTTCCCTCTCAATCTCTCTTCCTTTCTATCTGTGAACAGTCAGGACTGTTTCTAGCTATTTCCCAAGAGGGAAGAAGGGAAGGGCAATTTGCCATTATCCCACACCCTGGCCTACATGCAGTCATAAATGTGATGATGATCGTGATGATGATGATGATGATAACATTTAATAGTACTTTAAGATTTAAGATTTACAACTTGTTTCACTGCAAAATGAAAAAGTTCACTTAGCCAAGGCAGCGGCTAAGGTATGAAGTGATCAGGACTTATGCCAAGGTCAGCATTGCAGAAGCTACGGAAGGGGGGGGCGGGGCGGCCAGATAGGAAATATCAGAGTCTGTCAGCTACAATGAAGCATAGAAAAGGGTCACCTACTACCAGGGAACTGATCTGTTTAAACGTTAAAATGCGTAGATGGGACCCCAGACAAATTCTCATATTCTCTCTCTCTCCTTCTTCTTTTCTAAGACAGATGAATGAATATGAATGTGAAGTGGAAGACATACAGTGCCCTAAAAGCTAAAAGCTTTTTAAAGAAACAAATTTTAATTAAGGGTGGTTTTCCCAGCACCTTGTGAGGCCCCTCCTGAACTTGAGGGCATCCTAGAGTCTCTTTCCCTTATCTTGAGATACCATAAAACTTCCTTGTCTTCCTCATCCTGAGTCATAAAATTTCCCATCTTTCTTATCCTGAGTCCCCTTTCCTGCCATCCATCTTCCTCATCCTGTGTCATGACAACCCCTCCCCTTATCTTGTAAGATAAAAGAGACCCCTATCCCTCGGTAAGTTGCTAGTTCTCTTTCCAGAGCTAGCCTGCTGCTTTTGCATCAATAAAGCTCCCAATGGTTACAGAGAAGGTCTAAGTGAATTCTTTCACACCTAAACCAGCTCTCCCAGCTCTAAACCTCAACAAATGGGAGATATCTTTTTTGAGAAGAAACTTTGGGATTGTCTCTTAGGTAAACCAAAAAAGCAGAAGAATCAGCAAGGGGAAGTTGAGCAAAGTACTTCCTGAAAATAGAATACCTGACAGTTTCTCTTCCCTAAATTCAATAAACCAGATGATCACAGAAAAGCATATTGCCTATATCATATAAATACAGAGGACTGGACTGCTAGGAAATTTTCCAGAATAAGCAGGTGTGTAGTCAGTGAATTTCCTATAATTCTCCAATAATTTGTAGTCATATTTCCATTATCCCTAGATCTATGTCGAACTTGAGACAGTGAGAGTTTTAAATTCCTAACAAGATGTCTGAAGCAGAAATTTGATGGAGTGACCAGAGGGAACTAGAAGACAGTGGGTAACGATCCTCAGAATTGGGGAATGAAAAAAGGAACTGAGAAAGTTTCTATTGGATGGCTTCAACCTTAGTGAAATAGGAGGCTAGAATATTTGTTTTAAGTATGGGAGATAATCCTGACATTTATTTGGCACTTTAAGTAGAATGTAAGCTCCTCGAGAGCAAAAATTGTGTTTCAGGTTTTTTTTTTTGTCCTTATATTCCTAGTACTCTATGTGATAATCTTTCACATAGTGTGTGCTTAATGAGCATTTGTTGCATTAGAGATTTGAAAGCACTTGATAGACATATCTCATTTGATGTGCAAAACAACCTTGTGAAGTGGATACTCCTGCATGTATTATCCCATTTTACAGGTAAGGAAACCGTACCTCGGAGAGGCAAATGATTGGCTCTTTGTCAAATCACTGCTGACAATAGCTACTGCTTTGGATCTCCAAGCAACAATAGCCAGACCCCAGTGGTGGTCATACCATGAATAAGGATTTGAAATGAGGCCTTTCCTGAGTCCAAGTCCAGCTGTTTTCAATTATAATGCATTTAGTAGCAAGAGGAGTAAGGAAAAAGTTTGGAACAGTTATCACAGGAGAATTTTGGGGTTATGTACCATTTGAAGTGGATGAAATCAACGATGGCCAAATCCTATAGATATTCTCTCAGGAAATATCCCTTGTCTGGGACTGCTGCTCAGAAGGAGCTTTTCCCAAAGTTGACTTAAAAAGCTACAGGGACATTCTATAGTTCTGCTTTAAAAAAAAAATTTTTTTTTTTAATGTGGGTTTAAAAAAAAAAGCTTTGTTGATGTCTTTTATTTTGCCTCATAGTCATTTCCAAATACATCCTCTCACTTCCCCCAGTGAATCTTCTCATGTAACAAAGAAAAAGTTCTTTAAAACTGACACAGTGATCTAGGCTGCATCATTCCATACCTACAGTTCCCCATCTATCTAATGAAAGGAGGGGAGTGCTTTTCCCCATTTCTTCTCCAGAAAGAGACTAGTCATTAGAATTATATAGTATTCAGAAATACTGCTCTTTTGAAATATTGTCCGCTGACACTTTGTTTCTATTAATTGCCCAGCCTGCTTCGAGGAAGACTGGCAATAAGACTAAGAATCCCTGTATTTTCCTGGCCTTTGGCAAGCATTTTGGTCATTGTAGGGAGACACAGTAGCTGATGACCTGAGAGTTAACAAATAAAGGAAAGGCAAGAACCAAGTTTGCATTCTACTCCAACTTGGAATACTGATTGTGATGTTATGTGAGGTCACTACATTGCAAGCTGTGGATTTCTTTATTGAAAGGAGGCATGGGGTGGTGGGGTGATGGAGCTGATCCTGGGGCCTGGCCCACCCCTGCCACCACCTTTCAGCCTTCTTCTATTACTTGGTCTCCTTGTCATTGGAGTCTGGTCATTGCTGCCTGGAGATCGAAGGTGGGAGCTGTTGTCAGCCAAGATCAGTGAGGTACATGGAATTACAAAACCTGCTCCCACCCTGGGCCAGGGCAAAAGTATGGGGAAGGAGGGTACCTTATGGGTAGAAGACTTGCTCTAGCTCTTTGACTCTCTGGGACTCTTCTGTTTCTTTCTCCGTTTACCTTCTAGTCTTTTTCAACTTAAGGTATGATATACTGGGGCTAGGGTCTCACCCTCTCTTTGGAGTACCCACTGATGTGACTTTGTCTTTTTGTATTCTTCCAGACTTCAAGGCAGCAAAAAGTACCTGGGAACCAAAAACTCACAAAAGGTACCTAGATCCTTACTATCTCATCTGGAAGAGCTGCTTATTGAATAACAGCTAAATTCATTAGGGACCTGAGGGGTGGGGAAATGGATGAGAAGCTGGAAGGGGGAAAGTAATTGTGGTAGCAGGTAAGGAGGGGAAGGAAGCATCAATTCTATGCTTTTGGTAGCTTTACTTTTATAGCCAAATGAAAATATCCCTCCATCTGAGTGAGTGCAAACAGCTTCTTCATTCTTTCCACTTTCCTCCCTTCTATTTTCCTCTTAAAGACCAAAGTAATGAAGTGGGAGAAGAAGAAAACCATTACATTTTCCTTTTTCTCCCCACTTCAAGTCCTTACTCTCATCTCTTATGGCTTAGGCAGTAACTGAGCTGTGTGTGTGGGGAGGAAATGGGGAGGCAATGGGAAACAGTACTGGACTGGGAACCAGTTCAAATCAATAAGCATTTATGCCTGCTTATGCCTACTATGTCATGCTCTATACTAGGTACATTACTGGTATACAATATGTACACAGTTATGATGTAGAATAAATACAAAGTAATTTGGGGGTCAGGCCCGGGCACTAACGATTGGGTGAGTTAGAAAAGGCCTCTTAGAGAATTATAGCATTTGAGCTGAGCTGAGAAGGGAGATAGGAAAAAGACAGCATTCTCAGCATGGATCTAGTCTATGGGCTAAGTTAGCACAGGGGCAGGAAGACAGAAGGTGGGATACTTGCAGCATGGCAAGAGGGCCAGTTTGACTATTATGCAGAGCAGAGGTGTCAAACGTGCAGACCTGAATGCTTCTGAAAGCAGCCCAACCCAGATTAAAATGTAATTGGGAAATATTTAACAAAATAAATGAAAACATAATAAAATATAGATAACATTACATTTTAAAAACGAATCAATGTGCAGCCTGCAGGGATCCTTAGCTATGGTGGTTTAGTAGTCCCTGTTTCTATGAGTTTGACACTGCTGATGTAGAATATTTGAGAGGAATCATGTGAAATCAGTTTGGAAAGATAGGCTGGAGTTAGATTGTCAAACACTTTAAATGCCTTTATCCTAGAAGTAATAGGGAGCACTGAAAATTCATGAATGGGAGAGGAACACTGTCTCCCTGGGTTCTATTCCTAGCTCTTCTTACTAAGGAGCTATGTGACCTTGAATAAATCACTTAATCTTTGAGCATTAGTGTCCTTAGTTGTAAAATGGGGATAATAATACATGCAATATCTATCTCACAGGGTTGCTATAAGGATCAGATGAAATTATATACAGGGTGTCCCAAAAATCTTGGTGTAATTTTAAGCTTCAGTAACTTAAAACTGAACTAAGACTTTTGAGATACCCTGCACATAGAGTGCTTTATGAACTTTAAAGCTCTATATAAATGCCAGCTATTATTACAATCTCTGAAACGGTGTTGGATTACATGAGCTTTAAAGTTTTTCAAAGCTTAAAAATTTAAAATTCTAAAGGTTCCTGGTCTCTTACTAACATTATCCTCCATTACTTCTAGTTCCACCTCCACGCTGGGAAGACAATCTTCAGATGGGATGTACAGGAGCTGACCTGGCCTGGTGAGGAAGGGCTTCCTGCCCTCCCCATTAAGTTACAGTATTTACACTACTTGCCACCATTTTTATCCTTTCAGTTTTACTAACTGGTACCCCATTTCATCTAGTTTTTCAGGACTCCCTGTGGGCTGGGCCCAGAATTATACTCTCTGGTCAATGGATAGGAGCCTCCAGCATATTTTCCAGTGCCTGGACATTGCAAGGTTAGGCACTACAAGCCTGGGGTAAAGTACCTATAGGGTTGGGGGAGGGGATGTTAAAGAGCACATGGAATAACCAGATCCTTGTCGGTGTTCTCATCAAAGGAAGCATGGGAACTACCATGGTTGTCATCTCCCTGAGTGGATAAGAAAAGCAGTTTTTCATTTCTTGGGAGAAGAATGAGCCTCACAGATGACTGAAATGTAGGAAGGGCAGTCTTCCTTTCCCTTTCCACAACTGGAGAGAAAGGACTTTGTACAATGTTCATCCTTTCCTCATCTACCTTTCCCTTTTCCACTCCACAGCAGATCACTATCTGTCTCTCTCTCTCCCTCTCAGATCCAGCCTTATGAACTTGTCCTCGTCTTCACAAGTGACCTCAACTTCTTCCTCCAGCTCTTCTATTGCTGGTCCTGAGGACGTGCAAACCCTGACATGCTATGACTGCCACAGCCCAGGGTTTTCTGGAGTCCAGAGAACTTCTTCACTTCACACCAATCTCAGTGCAACTCAATCCCTTGCCTATATTTTTAGAGAGAACCTACAACACCAGAGCCATAGTCTACCTAATCCCTCCAAAAATTATTCTGGACAAGCACGGGTGCTCTCTCTGCCTCCTTTTCTGCTTCCTCAAGCTAAAAAAGATACCACAGGGAAGAATACCTTTTTGGAAAACTGCACCTGTAACTTCATTCAAAGGGTCTATGAGAACAAAGCATCGGAGGAAGAGAATGACAGCTGGGTCCCCAAAGAGATCAGGAATTCCTTGGAGATCCATATAAGGAGAAAGATTGCCCAACGTTTGATACGTCCTCCAATTTTCAGAACGATAAAGCTTTCTGTAAGTCCATATCCTTTGGCCTATACTCCTATCCGAAAGAGGAAGACAACAAAAAATAGGGAAGGAAATAGAGTTCTTAAAGATTCAAATCCTCCTCCACCTACAGATCTTCGTGAGAGACCCCAGCTCCCATGCTGGGCTCCAATTCAACTTTCACATTCAGCCCGGTGGGTGCTGGAGGGGCACATGGCCTGGAAAGTGTGTACACTGAGGGCCCAGAGAGTACCCACAGCTGTAAAGCAGTCATGGGCAATGCTGAACCATATCATTAAAGTGCAGAATGAAGGCCATAAATCTCAAAACACTGTAAAGGATACCAACAAAAAATCTCCATATGTTTCATGCTGTCTACTTTCCATGGATTTGGAAACTGACCACACAAGACCAACAAGTCCAAAATCATCCAAAGCAGATAGCCAGCTCCAGCCAAGACCTCCATTTATTACACAGAATGCCTTTTCCTCAGGAGTGGATGTCATCCTAGGGGAAGTCACGTTCCTGCAAGAGGATGTAAAAAAGAAGTTGGAACTTTGTATTAAGAAGAAAGTCAATGGTCTTCTAAAGAAGGTCATAGGGCAACAAAAGGAGGCCCCAAAGAAGAATGAAGAATTGAGTACTGGGGTAGGCACTATGAGATTGCTTCAAACTGTGGGATCTGTGCCATTGGGCCCAACGACCCAGGTTCAAGTCAAAGACTCTAAAGGATTGACTCTAGAGTCACATGGTCAAATAACAGATTCTTTGGGGCTGAACTCAGGGCCACAGGTTCAAAAGGCACAGATTCAAGACACAGATAAGATAGAGCTAACTCCAGTGCCACAGAAGCAAGATGTAGATTCTTTGGAGCTCAAAAGTTCAAGCTCAAAGGTTCAAGATATGGATTACGTAGCAACAACTCTAGCGCCAGTGAACTATAATGCAGATTTTGTGGAGCTGACCCGAGGATCACCAGTTCAAGATATGGATTCCATGGGGCCAACCCCAGGGCCACAGATTAAAAATGTGGATTCGGGAGGGCTGATCCCAGGGTCACAGGTGAAACCCACAGAGTCCAAAGGGCTGATCCCAAGATCACAGGACAAACTCACAGATTCCAAGGAGCTGACCTCAGAGTCACAGGTCAAACTCACAGATTTGAAGAAGCTGACCCCAGGATCACAGGTCAAACCAACAGATTCCAAGGGGCTGATCCCAAGATCACAGGTCAAACTCACAGATTCCAAGGAGCTGACCTCAGGGTCACAGGCCAAACTCACAGATTTTAAGGGGCTGATCCCAAGGTCACAGGTCAAACTCACAGATTTTAAGGGGCTGATCCCAAGGTCACAGGTCAAACTCACAGATTCCAAGGGGCTGGCCCAGGGGTCACAGGTCAAACTTATAGATTCCAAAGGGCTGATCCCAGAGTCACAGGTCAAACTCACAGATTCCAAAAAGCTAATCCTAGGATCACAAGTCAAAGTCACAGATTCTAAGGGGCTGGCCCAGGGGTCACAGGTCAAAGTCACAGATTCCAAGGGGCTGATCCCAGGGTCACAGTTCAAATTCACGGATTCCAAGGGGTTGATGCCAGAGTCACAGGTCAAACTCACAGATTC